AACGGGTTCCGACTGAACCCACAAAAGAGCATGTGTGTCTCTTTCTCTTGAAAGAGAGGCATGCACTCAGAACCCGATATTGAATTGAACGGTCAACGTCTGTCTGTCAATGCGGAGCATAAATTCTTAGGATTAATCTTGGACAACGAGTTCGCCTTCGTACCGCACATCAAGTATCTAAAAACAAAATGTTTAAAAGCCATGAATGTTTTAAAAGTGTTGTCACATACTTCATGGGGTAGTGACAGGCAATGTCTCATGAACCCGTATCGAAGCCTCATTCGCACCCGCTTAGATTATGGGGCTGTTGTCTATCAGTCTGCAACTCAAAGTGCTTTGAAGATGCTGGACCCCGGGCACCATTTGGGCATCCGCCTTTCTACGGGTGCTTTTCGCACCAGCCCCGTTGAAAGCCTTTATGTTGAGTCAAATGAGTGGTCGCTTCATCTGCAGAGAACTTACATGTCCTTTGTTTATTTCCTTAAGGTGAAAGCAGATAAGAAGCACCCCTCATACGCTACTATTAATGATTTGTCGAGCTCACCCTAGTGAAAATCTGTAACTGGGAATCTAACTGGTTTCAACTGGTATTAACTGGTATCAACTGGTCCCAGTTGGGAACTAACTGGTCCCAGTTGATGCCAGTTGCAACTGGTTCCAGTTAGCAACTGGTCCCAGTTGGGAACTAACTGGTCCCAGTTGATGCCAGTTGCAACTGGTTCCAGTTAGCAACTGGTCCCAGTTGGGAACTAACTGGTACCAGTTGATTCCAGTTGCAAGTGGTCCCAGTTAGCAACTGGTCCCAGTTGGGAACTAATTGGTCCCAGTTGAAACTGGTTCCAGTTAGCAACTGGTCCCAGTTGATTCCAGTTACCAACATGTCCCAACTCAACTGGCCACCCACAGGGACCACAGGAATTTCATGAGCATGCCCTTGAACTGGAAGCAGTGCCCAGCTGAAAACCATAAGCAATTCAATTGGAAGAAAATGGTCCAAGTTGTGCCCTAAATAGAAATGCTGCCAGTTTTTTTTGGTTTTATGAATCGTTACAGTGAAAGAACAGAAAAAAATTGAACTAGATGTATGTGACACACTGCTGCACTTGAAGGAATTGGTTTTATCCATAGGTTTTTTGTCCTACTCATTGTAGGGTACTGTATTACCAGCCTAGTAGTACTTTAAAGGACCAGTATTAGAATAGATTACAATGAGTAACTGTCATCTTGCAAATGGTGAGTTGTGGTTTATAAATGAATTATTTTTTCTTCTTTAGATGTCAGCCTCTTTACATTGTTTACCTCGATATTAGAATAATCTGAACAGTTTTACTTAATCTCGTATTTTTGAAAATCCTATTATTGTGAAATATTTCATATCGAAATTGAGCAACACAGTGCACTCAGTCGTACGCTTTAGCATAATTACATTGAACTAATATCAAACAGCTGTTGTCAATCTTTTTACATCCATCACGGCCTGATTGACGCCCGAGTATTAATATTATCATCTTGTTGGAGCATAATAGTCTTGTGTGCAGTACAGCGGTTACTTCCGTGCAACAACTAAATGTGGGGTAGTGCCGACAGTTATCCCAACTGAGACTACTGCCGACATGCTGCAGACACAACTATATTAGAAGCAAATGGCTTGTGACTTATTCCATGTGGCTGAACAGCACGAAAGGTTTATTCATACAAGTACATTCATCCAAAGGAACATAACCAAAGGTTACACGATTAAACCCATATAATAATACAAGCAAAAGGGATTGCTTGAGTACTATTTTGAGAACAGTAGTAGTGAATTTAATCATTGGGTTCGCCTGGAAAATGTGCAAGTGCCTTTGAAATGGTCCCCATAAGAACCGAGTTGAGCCCACATTCTTATAAGAACAACCTAAAATAATAGGGAATGTTGGACATGCTGGCATGGCATGAGCAAGGCAGTAGTTAAATGTGTAGCATGTCAGTTACATGCAACTCCGAGTGCGTTCACACTTATCATAAAAAGTATAACATGACACCTTTAAAATTTTCCAAAAAGCTAAATGCAAACAAAAATCAGGTAATCTTTTTATGGGAAACGATTGGCAAGATTACAAAAAAATTGCCTTTCGTTCCAGTCAATCCACAGGCATGGAGCTGCCTGCCTGTCCACTTCGACGACATTCTGTGCCACCCACTTCTGAACACATGAAATGTGTGTTGTGCCGAAACACAGAGAACTAACATAGCTGTTAGACACAAAATAAATCCTTTTTCTGTCACTGCAGCTAACTGACACAATATGCTGGATCTTAGCATGCATATTGTCTCGCAGTCGTACAGCTGTGCAGTTAGTTTTTTGAGGCCTTTGATATTGTTCGCTGTGGAACATGCGTCCAGAGATGCGAACTCTATCATATTCCTCAACAGGCCCTGTGATTTGGTGTGGGACTTGCGCTTCAATAATTCTATGAATGGACTCACTGACAGCTCTTGGTTTTCCCAAAAGGGCCAGCGACTCTTCTTTGTTGCACAAATCAGAGCACAAGAAATTCTTAACTTGCTCACTAGCGGCTGCATTGTGTGCGCCAACTTTGCTGGCCATAAGCACTCTGCTCATCACTTGGTGAGGCACTCCTTTAGCGGAAGTGACGAGCTTTTTAATCTTTCCTAAGCCCGCCTCAAAGACAAAGCAAGAGTGTGCCCAGAGTGGCCCTTGCATTGTAACACTTTTTGCAAGGTGCAACAACAAGTGTACATTCGAAGTCATTTCCTTCTTAGAGTAGAGAACTTGGACTTGAATAACAAATTGCACAAGACACTCAGTACTATCCCTGATGTCTTTGGCTGAGACAGTATCTCCAAGTAGGAGGTATACAGCTTTCACCAGCAAGCTAAAGTGTTTGTGGTACTTGCCAGGCAAGATTCTGTGAACACAAACAAGGCTGTAATACAACAGCCACTGTTGCCACTCGCTTGCCTTCCAAAACTTTCTCAGTTCAACAGATCTTGGCAGGCGCGTGATGCATTGAGGAGGCTTAATGGCACAAAGCCTTTCGTCAACCATCCTAATCAACTGTGGCGACCCTATATAATATGGAGCGCCTACACCAGACATCCACAGCTCCATAAACTGGCGTGTGACACCAAGTAAAACCCCATGCATATAATCAGGCGTGAAGCCCCACACAATGTCAAACCCCACCAAATTAATTAATGGGGAAGGCCCTTTAACTCCTCGCACATTAACACCAGTCCTGTGCACTTCAGCCATGTCTTGCATCATCCCTTCTTTAGTCCTGTCGGGTGGAGCTTCAGCGCTTATAGGGTACTTGACTGTTCCTGCAAAATAAAAATGATAGAAACAAATTAAATACAAAACTCGGGAGGGTGGGCAAAAAAACCTTTGCAGCAATGAATACTAGATTTTTCTAACTGGTAATAATATTCCTGCAAATGTCAGGTACTCCTAACTGCTGTAATAATGCATACAGATGTGAAGGCCACATGAAGCTTTCTAGAAGTTTGTAAAGTAAAGAAGAAGGCTAGCATGTCTTGAATGCACGTTAACTTTTAGTGTGACAAAAATACTTTAAGAAAAGAATGCGTGAAAATAAAATTAAGTAGGATGTAATAATAATGCACAAACCAAATTTCAGTAACAAAATAGTGATTGTGAAGCTGATATCCAGGATGTAGTCTGTCAGATATTTTTGTACACAAGTCAGTTTGCTTACCTTCAATGCATTTGCCAGGGTGCAAACACCAGCCACACCCAAAGTATCCATTATACTGGACTGTGTTCTGCATCAGAGCCCTGGCTGGAGCATCGGCTACAGCAGCGAAACAATAGACCTGTAATGTAACAAAAAGAATATAGTTTTAATGAAGAAATGGGACAGTGCTATATTGGTTTTCAAATTCAATCATACTCAAGTCTGGTCGGGATAAGATTTCTCGGTCCCGATTGCCTACTTTGTGCAAGCAGTAGAATGAGGCTAATCGTGGTGTAGAATGTCAATCTGAATCTGGCACAATTGTGAGTTCAAGTGGCTGTGCGACAGTGGTATTAAACTTGGCTCAAATGCTTGTGTGTTGACAATATGTATTTTTAAAGCAGTACCATTATTTGTTGTAACATAATTTTAAAAGAATTATAGTTAAATCAGGCACTTCACCAAAAGTCAAGAATATTTCGTGCATTGCTCAGTTTTTAAAGCGTTATATAGCAGTTAAATTAGACTAAAATGAAAGCTTTTTCATGAAGCCAAAAAAAACTAGTATCACTACAGTAGTAAGTTTTCATTTGCCTTCTCTTTTGCTGTTTCTTTTTTTAGTTTTTGGTTAAGGAATATTGCGGAAGGACACAATATGCAACTAAGTTTGCTAGGAGGAGACTACGCAATGAAATAGAAGTGGCTCACTTTTGATTGAAAGGTCTCTCCATCACATGTCCACTCGATACCACTCCTGGTAAGCGAGTCCATTTGCTTCGTGAATGCCTCCAACACCAATGTCATGTCTGGGTGGCACTGTCCATACCACAGTGTAGCAACAGTAACATTTTTCAAACGCAATCCGGGCGGCAACTCATTAATTGTCGTCTGCACGGGCCATATCGAAAACTTGGATGAGTTGAACACAGGACTACCATCCGAGTTTATGGTCAATGTGATGTCCATAGCGCCAAGACCCAGTTCTTTTCTTTGGTGCAGATACAAACTTCCGTCTGTAAAGTCTGTCATAGAGGCGGCGTGTGAACGATGTGCAAGTGCATTTAAAGAGTTTTTAAGTGACCTGGAAGTATCTTGAGACGAAAGAATTGAAGAAATCTGTTGCCCCATGGGAAGGGTCACAAAAAAACTTCCTTGCGCAGTAAGGGTATCTCCACTGTACAACTGTTGGCATTGTGTACATGTTGCATTGAATTCTTTTCTTTTCTTAAGGTCCCCGTCACATTCGCCGAGAAGGCAAATGCAGTTGGGACAATAGAAATGAAAGCCCATATTGCTATCAGTGGAGACTCCCGCAAATTTCTTAAACAGAAACTTCGTGTCAGGGAGATCCTTTCTTTTCATTAAAAAACTGACTAGTTTCATCAGGTGTTCTACCTGTGTCCACGCCAGGCCAAAGTTAACAGCAAAGTCCATGACTAGGGTCACGATGTCTTCAGCAGATAAATCGGAGTCAAAGGAGCCATCAGTTTCACGATCATCCTCCTTTGCGTTCTCTGCCAGGGCTTCCTCATCGTCGCTCGGTCCCGACTCTTCGCACTCGTCGACTTCATCGTTTGCCCAGACGCGAACTGGCGAATTATCAGCAGGTTCATCTGCAGCAGCATTACCATCAGACATCACGTTTTCCACTTGGCTAGTGTCAGTCGCGAGGCGAGACGCCCTGTACCGCGTTGATCTGGGCAGCTCTTTCCCATCGAAGGATGGCTCTAGATATAACTTCCGTCGTTTAGGCGTCCGGGACATGTTAGCGGTACAGAATGTACACTTCGAACTGTGGTAAAATGCCTTCAGTCTAATAAAAAAAATACAAATCGATATGTATTAGCGTGCGCTTGAGTGGAAATCTTTCGATCCACGAAAGCGCAAACGCCATGCAAACGACTTGAGATCTGGATTCAGTCGGCTTTGTAACGGCTTAGCAATGAAGTGAATAATAGGTAATATATTTTTATTTGCATTTCTAGCACCGAACGTTACAGGTTTTTTATTTATATATAGGCCGTTTCTTTAACAACGTTATTTATGAATTTGTACGCGTTTAAATTCAGGCCAGGCCAAGCAGTTTTGGCTTGGTTGGTTGAGCTGAGCGAAGCCGGGCCAAGCTGAGTACAATCCACTTTGTGTCAGGCCCGCGTTACCCACGTGCGCGCTGAGCCCGTTGACTGTCATATTTGGTTCGATATAATGTTCGCGCTAGTTCGCTTTCTAGATAGTGACCATGCACATGACACTCGTAGATATGTTGTGCGAGTGGAGGATATCCATGATTTTCATCCGAAGCACGAGACGGATTTCGATGGCAAGGCAGTGTATGTCGTTCACTGGGAGGATGAAGCAAACGGTGACGACACGGGTGAATATAAAGCCCAGATACTTCGACTTGGCGGTAAGTGCATCCATCTACCCTGATCTACGCGTTAGTCTAATATCCACACTTGCACTTTCAGCCACAGAGAAAGAAGCTCGGGAATCGCCAAAAAGAATTCCGATCCCTAAAATTGCAGTTGAGGAAGGCTCGGACGTTGAAGGAGCTGTGACCAAGAAGGCCACTGTAAGTGCGCACTTGTTCATTCGCAAATCTTTTTTTTTTTAGGTGTTTCTCTTTTTTTTCGAATCTATTAAGGAAGTGCGAATTATTTTAAGATATTGGGAGTATGTCTAATCCAAAATTTGCAGGCTGCAAGAATGAAAAAAACAGCTGTCAACCGAACTGCAGCAAAAAAAGACCGGTACGAGCAGATCTTGAAAAAGCAGATGAGCCACGCTCTCCGACAGAACTCGGAACAAACTGTGAGCGTGTATTAACTATATAATACCCGATTTCCTTAAACTTCTTTTCTTCTTTTCACTGTGAATAAGCTTCAGTGAAGCAAAAAAAAAAAAAATGTTTACGCAGCGAAAAACGCGACTGAGTTCATCATCAAGCTCGGATGACTCTCTCGTGTCCAGCTCAGAAGTAACAGAAGAGAAGAAAAAAAACCAAATTTTGGAAAAAGAGATGCAAGGAGCTGCGGCAAGACAACATCTTCTTGCAAGAACAAGTTAGCTCACAGCAGGTGCTGTTAAACTCAAAATTTCTGAGGTGTAAGTACAATAATTATATATTGATTTTAGTTCTTAAAATGAGAAAGTTTTTTTATATGTTGATGACAACCTGTTAATTTCATAGCTAGTGAGCATTTCTTGAATATTTTGACAGTTGAAGACCTGCAGCACAGCAAAGAGGCTGACGTTGAGAGCTGCACTGTACAAGCTAGAAAGGAGACAGCAAAGGCCACAAGCAACCTAGGTGCATATTCATTTTTGTTATTAAATTTAGTGTTATTAGTTTCATACTACATAGAATTGACAATCATCTGTAGCATATAGCATAAGAGCACTTCTTGAGCTAGAGTACTTAAAGCAGTATTCCCTTCTCATGTAATGGATCAAGATGCATAATCGGTTACTTCATAATCACTAATTATTTTTCAGATTTACTTAAAGCACTTTGCAGTATACTATTTGCAGTCCAGTGAGTCAACAAGCTTGTTCCTGCTGGGAAAGAATTCAAAGGATCAGAAGATGGCTCTGTGAGTATATATTTTGCACTTTACCTGTGAAGTTCAAGCACACAATGAAATTAGCATAATGTTGCATTCTTTGAACATGATTGATGCAAATGGTCAAAAAGTAAATAATTTCAAATCTATACTGTAGATGCCAACATAAATTGTAGCATGTTATATGTTCACACCAGCAACTATGGTAGCTTGAATTAAATGTGTTTACATTCAGTAAATTGAGTGATTGCATCCCAACTAATTGTCACTTCATTACATTATACTTACATCTAGCTTCACAGCACTGATTTAGTTACAGCACTCATTTGTAATCTTAGTGACCATGATTTACTATTATCTTTGTGCACACAGCCTCTTTTCTAATATAATACTCCTATTGAGGACAGAACACACTATATTCAAAATTTGCAGATCCCTTCACATTGACATCCCGTATAATCATGTGATTTTGGGACATGAAACCCATGATATTATTATAAGCCGTGTGAAACAAACTGCCTGCCGAACAGCTCAGAGGTGCCTCCACAATAACGATGTGCAGCTACTTGGCATGTTGCCAATGACAGTGGTGCAAAACAGCAGCAGTTGTTGGTAAGTTTGTGAAATCTTCTGCAGTACATGTTACATTTTAGCTTCTAGAAAGTACAGGTGGCTTGTATACTTGCCCTTGTCAATTTCGGTAGCTAGATATATTACCAATACCACAGATAATTTGGACATTTAGAAACACTATATGAGGTGGCAAAAGCATGTGCATATCCGAATACAAATCGAATAGTGGCCCTGCGAATATTTTAATTCGTGAATTGAATATGTGCTCTTCAAATTCTCAAATACTGAAAGTCGGCAACACCTACATTATGGAACATGTAATAATTACATATGCCCTAAATTGTAGTATGCATTAATCATCATATATAGGTTGACATCTGGTGTGTATGTCTGCTAACAAAAAATTAAATACAGGGCTACCAAAATATTGTTTAAAGTACCTGTATCTAGACCGCTGCTGTCTTTTTGCCAAAGTGGCGCGAAAATGCCTCCTCTCTCACGTGAATATCCGATAGCGTGCGGTGGCAAAGCCAAGGAGCATTTCAAATCTCTTACATAGTCCGGTGCTCACCAGCTGGTAAGCATACAATAAACTGCAGTGATGCAAGGCTGCCCCCCCCCCTTCCCCACACAACCTGTTTCACAAGTCAAGTAAACAAAAAAAGAAACCATGCTCATTACCACATTCAGAAAAAAATTATATTGCACAAAAACTTGTAATAATAAAATTTTTGCTATTCAATATTTGTACGCCTGCTAAGTTGAACTTCTTTGTCAGCCAATAATAATTACAGGAACAAGATGTTGCATCGCTCTCTTCCTTGATATTTACAGTTTCATCTTCAAAAGGGCATCTGCCTGACGCCTATTCAGGCAAAAAGAATTCTGTCTCACAAGAAGGCAAGGCTGGTGGTGAAGGAAACGGCACAAGCCATATGGTCCCAGAAAGGGCTAGCGTCACGCAGTGTTAAAGGTGGCGTAGCTCCAGGAAGAAGGAACCTCGGCGAGGTTGCAAAGCCTGCGCTGACACCTGAAAAGGTCGCGGTTCTGGAAGGTTGGTCTGCTGTGTATATGTGCTAAATCTATCCTGAGAAGTGCACGTAACATGTCACCTGTTCTTTTACAGAAACACTCAACCATTGGTCGCATGTGACAGGCGCCGACTCGTCCATTGCAGCCCGAAACTTGACCAGCATACTAACTGAAAAAATTCAGGATTGCATCAAGGCAGAGCGACGAAAACCTCCACAGTAAATGTACTGCGAAATGCATTCAATCCATAGATAACCCAACGAAGACCAAAGACTAGGGCTGTGCAATGTTTTTTCTGCATTAATAAATAGAATCGTCTCATATACACTCAACATAAGTCCTTTGGAGTCTTTCATGTGCTTAGAATGCTCATTTGCACGTTCAAAGTTAAGAACATCTCAACTGGGAATGCGTTCTAACTGGTCCCAGTTGTCAACTGGGAATGCATTCTCAACTGGTCCCAGTTGCCAACTGGGAATAGGTTCCCAACTGGTCCCAGTTGCCAACTGGGAATAGATTCCCAACTGGGAATAGATTCCCAACTGGGAAAAATTCCCAACTGGAAAAGTGTTCCTTAAACCAGTTCAACTGGGACCAGTTGAAACCAGTTAGATTCCCAGTTACAGATTTTCACCTGCAATTCTGTTTCAAAACAGGCCTTCAATGAGGCAGCCCTTCTCAGTTCGCCTGAAGAGTCTAGCTGAGGAAACTGGAGTCTCACTTGAACACATTTTAATGGCTCCTGTAACATACCCGCCACCGTGGCAATGGCAGACTATAAACTGCAATGTGTCTTTTCTAGAAGTTACAAAACATGCACCTATTGCCCATATCCGAACACACTTCCTGGAACTTCAACACAAATACACACGTCCTGAGCTCTTTACAGATGCCCCCAAGTCTAACTCCTCTGTGTCCTACGCTGCTGTCGGCCCATCCTTTTCGGATGCTGGCCCTTTACATCCAGGCACAAGTATCTTCACAGTGGAAGCTTTTGCGATACTTGTGGCGGCTAAACACATAAAAAAATTACAAATACAAAAAGCAGTAATTTATACGGACTTTCTCAGTGTAGTAATGGCTCTGCACACTCTTAAAAAACAAAAAAACCCAGTCCTTGTCTCACTTTACTCCATTTTGTGCACACTCTACACACTCAAGCAACATGTTGTAGTGTGCTGGGTGCCAGGGCACCGTGAAATTCAAGGCAACGTGAGGGCGGATCAGCTCGCTGCATCCGTCCAAAAAAGCACTGCCCCTACACCCATATCAACCCCGGCCCTTGATCTTAAGCCTTCTCTCAAAGGAAACCTCAGGGTATACTGGCAGAGCAAGTGGGATACACACACACAAAACAAACTACACGTTATTAAGCCACACCTTGGTCATTGGCAGCCCGTATCGAAATCGCGTCATACAGAGGTAATACTAACGAGACTCAGGATAGGACACACATACACGACACACACATATCTTTTGTCTGGTGGCGATCCACCATTGTGTGACATATGTGGAGAAGCATTGACAGTCCTTCACATGTTAACCCAGTGCAAACACTTAGAAACTCTAAGAAAACGACATTTTCCATTACCCTACCGACAACATATACCTTTACACCCTGCAATGTTCGTCGGTAGGGAACCGCTTTTTAGTCATAAATCATTGTTAGCGTTTTTAAAAGAAATTCATAATTTTCATATCATATACCCGGGCATTCCGTAGCACGACCTCTCTAGAGAGGTTTTTGCTGCGGAGGTTACACAAGAAAGCACCTGCCTCACGGCCCTTGGACGCAAGGGTATGAACGAGTGAGGCACTTGTGCTAATGCCATACATATCCACCATCGTCTTTATTATCACCAACTTTTGTCATCTATTCACACCACACACATCTTTCACGGCATGGTCATCATTTTATTACTTGTATGTTCTTACCCGCCTTATTGCGAGGAATTTTATGGCCCTTATACAGCCGCTTATCACAATCATTGTCCATATCTTTAGTAAGATGAACTGGCGCTCTTTGGCCAATCTTTGGCCAACAAATGGCCCTTGCGCCAAAAAACACTGGGCCCTTTGTTCAGACATAGGCCAAGCATGCTCTTCAATATCGGCTTTAAAGCTCCGGTGCACGGTTTCTCTCTTTTTTTTTTTTACAGCAGGTTACAAAAGGAGGTAAAAGTAGGGGTTCGGTTAATTATGCTGGTTTGTAATGCAAGCAAATACAAAATTTTGTACGTACGTGCACACAAAATTTTGCGTGCGTCGACGAAAACGGTGATGCGCTAAAGTGACGTTCAACGTGCTCTTGAAGCGTCGCGATGGCACAGTCGAACTCGTCAGGGCTAGAAGACGTCAGTGTAGCTTCCGTAGCGCTCGCAGTCATGAGGCACGGGTCGTCCGTAATCAGAGTCAGGAAGATACGTTGTCCTGCCAAGCCCAAGCAGTTCAGCAGCATTGCCTTCCAACGAATTGCAGGTAGATCGGAGGCACCCGAAGCGATCATGTAGTTCTTGAAAACCAAGATCCATTACTCCCATGGGGTGTCTGGGTGTGCTGTTGGTGACAGGAATGGAGGTGACGATTATAGCCCTGAAATACTTATCGTAGATGGTGTTAGGCAACAAATGAAGTCACTGATGAGGTTCAAGCTGGTAGCACATGGGTTGGTGAATCTTTGTTGCCAAAATATGTTACATCGTACATAATGAAAGTCACAGCATAAACTGAGACGTCTCGTTTATTTCCTCATCTTCCTCTCTGTGGCGGCCGTCGAGCGCGTGCCATCGCACTGTGCTGTAGTCGGTAGCGACGCTTTATATCAAAGTTATGGGAGCCTAGGCCCTATATTTACCAGTCTGTTTTTTCTCTTATAAACACAAGAGCAACATTTTCACTCAGACTAGCAAAAGCTTTGTTTCTGTGTAGCAATGTGAAGTTCGCTATATGTGGTCTTCAGTTCTGAAGGAACATTAATGTTGCAGGGTTAGTGTTGTGGCTGAAACTTTAGACCTGCAAAAATTGCAGCCCCTAACAGTACAAAAGAAGGCAAGTAGGTTCAAAAAACAAAATATTCCTGCTATTGTGTGGTTCACTTTACTAGGAAATGGTGGGGCTCTGCACTTCCAGTTCAGAAATCATAAAGACGCACCATCATATTGTCATGTAGGTTACAGATAGCTGACCGGCGCGCAGACCTGTAAAGAGGTTGACTATGAGCGCAATAAAATAAAAGTAATTTATTGGGCCGACCAGGGCCAGAAAGCAAGCTAACAAGCATCGCTCGGCGATAGGGAAACTAGAACCAGTTGCCCGAACGGTGGCCATCGGAATGCTCGCGGGCAGATGCAGTGATCCCTGATCCATTTGTTGCGAGGGGATACATTCAGAATCGGGACGACGGCTACACTAGATCGCATACGAGACGTGGGTGAGGAATGTGATAAGATAGTCCAGTCAGCTTCGATGTTCTAAATGCACGTGGCATTGCCCCTCCCCAAAAAAAAAAAAAAAACAGTTTCAGTTTATTTCGGACATAGTTACATGACATGAAATATGTCCACGAGGCAAGGCAAAAGGAGACTCGTATGTCTCCTGACAAGGCCTTCACCCCGGACTTACACGTCGGACAGCCAGGAGGAAAATCAGAGAAAATAAGTACAATGCTCATTGCACAACTTATATATCTGGCCGCATTCACAAAAATGCAGGTCAGTCCACTCCAGGCTATTGCGACCCAACCGCATTTTATTATAAACGAATCTAGAAAGCCTTTTTCTGAACAGTAGACTCACTTATGGGAAACTGGGACGATACAAATTTTTGAAATTCCCCAGCCAATTTCCACTGTGTCTATTGGGCCATAATTTGAACGTTCCGAACATTTTTCTGAATCGCGGCGTGGTATGAACTTTAGTACCGAAACCAGCGAACGAAGGCCGATCGAGAGTAGCGTGCTTGAAACTTCAGGAGCATGCGTGCGATCAGTGCACGCACTGTCTTTTATAGTGCATGTGGTTGTTTCCAGAGCTGCTGTGGACGAAACGACGGTTGTTCTCGACATAATCGTGTATGGCGACGACACTGACAGTACTTTGAAAGTGTGCGCGCGTCCAATGCTCGACTAGTCAAAGCAATCCAGCCCTTGAAAGTATGAAATATCTATTTATAGAAATAACAGCACAGTATTAAGTGAAAAACACAACATTTTGTCTGCTTCGATGCCAGGTGCGTCTGTTCAAGTGGTCTGCCCCAACGCACCTCTCGTTTTGCTGAGAAGTCGAGTCAGAAGAGCGTGGCGGTGCATCTACTTCGCGTCACCTTCCTTTTGCAGTTGATTTCAACGACTTTCGGTAAGATGCACCTACAACAATTGTGATCTCGGTGTAATATCCTGCACTGGCATGGGACGCTACATCTATGCGCAGCGGTGAGTGGACGACGCTTCGCTTAAACTGTCCAACACGACTTACACAGCTCCGGCGTTGGAGTAAATTGAGAAGACTAGCAGTTTTTAGCTTCTTTGAACAACAAAGACGCAGCCGAAGTGCTTTGCACACACCCCACTACCCACTCTACGCGAAGAACCAAAGGGAAACTGGCTAACACGATCCAATCCGAAGCCTGTACTTCCCATAATTCCCATGAGGGTACACGATCGCAGCACCAGATTCTTTATTAGGTATTATTGTATTAAACTCTGTTTTCTCAATAAGAAGCTAGAGATATTCACCTCTGAAGAAATTCAAATGTTGCTCCTACACATGCAGCATATTTGATGCTTAGTGTACAGCAAACAGGTACCCGATAGCCAGTCTCATGGTGATGTTTGGCATGGTTAGCTACTCATTTATGAACCAACGGCATGTGCATTTAAAGATGGACTGACCTAGGAAAAAGCAAATATGCTATCAAAAAACCAAAGTGTGTGCAGGTCCATGAAATCTATGAAAACCCTTGAATTAGAAAAGTGCTTTTAAAGGCCCTTGAAAGTTCTAGGGTTTTTTCTCCGTCCTTGAAAATCTTCGGAATTTCATGAGCAGTGCACTGGCATGTCGACATCGCGTCCTCCTAAACGCGGTGGATCGGTGTGTCAACTTGTCAAACTCCCCATTTGAAGAGCAGTGACGCGGTGTGGGTGCACGTGCTTCTGTTTTACAGAACCGTACATGGAAAAAAGTCAATTTTTTGGCGAGGGTGAAACAGTGAAAGTTATAAAAACAGTGTATCACAAACAACAGCAAGCAACTCGGTACATGTAGTGCTCCACTGATGCATGAAGGACGTGCGAAAATAACACGCACAGGATAAATGTTTCTGAACAACTGTCACTGCACAACACTTGCAGTGTGCTGCTTAAACAAAAAGAAGAATGCTTGAAAAGAATGCACAGGTGTGTACAGCAGGAGTGGGAAGTAACGACTGTCATAGTTGTACTTGTGCACAACCCAACGCTCCTAGTTTTGTTCTTGAACTCTGCTGCGCATTGAGCGTGGCCTCTGAGATGTTCAGCCAAGTGGTTTCTCTCCACCATCCCAATCGCACAGAGACGCATAATTTCACAGGTTGGCATGACTTCAGGCAGCTAAATGATTTCGGGCGACTGTATCGGTTTAATTTAGCGAAATATGTAATATATCTACAAAGAATCTCCCTGCAAAAGTGCAACAAAAGTATGGAAAGAACAGAAATCATCACATCACGTGCATCACAAATGGTCACATTTTCGTAACACTCGTCTCATAGCTGTGCAAGGAAAGCGAGAATCATAGGCGTATCAGCAGGGGGGGGGGGGGGGACTTAGCCCCCCCCCCCCTTCATTTTCATCAGTGGTCACTGTTGGTTGCACAGTGGGAAAACCAACAACTAAGGCCAAGTTTTTCTTCACCACAGTAATCACTCAATTATATTGTTACAAAGAAATGAATATGTTACCAGAGAATGTTAATATAGTGAAAATTTTCCGGCATTTCTGCTGTCACAATTGTCCTTGAAGGCTCCTCGCGGTGTGGGCTGGTTATGCAACGCTCTCGCGCCTTGCACTGTAGCATTGCAAAGCGGGCTACAGTACAAGGCGTGAAAGCGTCGTTTACTATAGCCTGCTTTGTTATGGATGGGAACGAGCAATCGTTTTATGTACCAGTCAGAGCATTTGCTGCTTCAGTGAAATCATTTTCTTTCATCGAAGATGAATAGCATCCCCGCTGCTCCGTCGAAGCTGCTGTGAGCCGATGAGTGTTACGAATCTTTTTAAATGATTTAGTTTTGCCGTACTGTAAGCGCCAAAAAAAAAAGTTTCCTCTTTAGTCTCTGATAAATCTAATCAGCCTTGCTTATGATAACTAGGAGCGGTGGCTGCAGTTTGTAAAGTGGTGACGAATAAAGCAGTGGACTCGAGCACAGTGGGAAGCTAAGATTTTAACCTTACCCCGCAGCTTGACCCACCGGACCTGGGAGAAGCTGAAAGACCGTGGTTTTTTGCACTATGAAGGCCCAATTATGAGTCAAGCTAGTTTATATATATATATTTCAGCTGACAAGGGAGGTAAGTGTGCCCCACCACTCGGGAAAGAGTTGGTACGCTACTGGCGAAAATATGCTGAAGCAGGCGTTTCCTTGTATATGATTATAATATGCTTCAAGCCAACCGCTACAGTTTTGGTTTGGCTTCGGGCTGCTAATATCATTTCGGGCTAGTGTATCGGTTTACTTCAGCGAAATATGCAATATATCTACACACAACCTCCATGGAAAAGTCCAACAAAAGAGAGAACAGAAATCATCACATCACATGCATCACAGACGGTCACATTTTAATAATAATGATAATAATGGGATTTATTTCAGGCACTGAGTGGGAGTCTTGGATGGCAAGACAAAAGGCAGGACATTGTCTGCCTGACTAAGGCCTTGCCACCCATACGTTGCTCCAACAGTGTGGCAGCATGCGATGGCACAGAAAACAAAAGGATACAGAATGTTTGTTCAATAGAGTAACTAACATAAATATGTTACATATTTCGAGAAACAAATATTTTGTATATGCTAATACAATTTGTATTAGCTTGATGATTTGATCATCGAGCTAGACAAGACAATCGAAGTCTCTGGCAGTCACTAGGACAGTGTGGGTGTATTGTGGCTAGTGCAGTACCGCACTACTATTGAAATGGGAGGTCCTCATAATCTTACTGACCAGTAATAAGTTGGGCCACCAACTGGTCATCGCGTGCAGCAGTAATGAACGTGTTACAAACCCCACAAAAACATAATGTGCATTCAACACGCTATGCGCACAATGTTGGTATTAAAATCTCCTCCCAGTTGCACAGCTACAAGTATCCTGTGTAGGTGCGTATCGCTGCACCTACAAAAGGTGACCCTGTAAACGCTCAGTTTAAGCCACATGAGCACGTGAAAAAAAAAAATTGGGTCCAGCCCACGCTGAATAGGTGCTTTAAATGAAGTGACCGAACTTGTCACCCCGCAACAGACATGCTTTCTTCCCCCTATGTCGCCACTGCCTTCGGGACTGAAATAGCACGGTTGGCGAACCGCGACTGGCGGAAGCAACTTTGAAGTATGCGAAACAGGAACTGCCACAGGAGTCTCGGCTGGCATGCTCATTGGCTGTAGAACAGGAAAGGTCTCCGGAACATCACTGGTCAAAGCTTGGGTAGGAACAGGCAGAACAGGAGTAGGTTGGTCGGCTAAAGTTTGGTCAGGAGCAGGCGCATCCGGAGCACGGGACAGTTTTACTGAAACTTGGTCACGGAGCAGAAGAAGAAGAGGACAAAGCTCAGAAGGAACTGGACACACATGAGGTGGACGCACCGCTTCACACATGTTGCGCACACAACTCAGTTCACGGGTGAACAGCTGACGTTGGTCACTGGGCGCGTTGACCGAAGGATCACGTTGCACGTCGCCTTGGGCACAAGTCATGGAAGCACCGAGAATGTTTATGGATAATGCACTTATACGCCATGACCCAGGAGGGAGCTGCCTTTTGTAGGGATGTAGAAAGTCAAAGAAGCAGTACGACTGCAATACCTGACTTGTACTGGGAAAGATTTCAATTTATCATTCTTTGGAATACGTCTGCAAAACGGTCTGCGATGGAGAAAGTCTATCGCCTGGAAAATGTCTATAAAAGTCAGCGATGCCAATTAACGAGCTGATGCACCAGTGTCCACGAGAAAAGTCAGGAACAACACCACCCACTGTTGCGAACGATAGGCCTAAGAGGTTGTTACACAAAGTTCCGTCTGTAAAGTCTGTCATAGAGGCGGCGTGTGAACGATGTGCAAGTGCATTTAAAGAGTTTTTAAGTGACCTGGAAGTATCTTGAGACGAAAGAATTGAAGAAATCTGTTGCCCCATGGGAAGGGTCACAAAAAAACTTCCTTGCGCAGTAAGGGTATCTCCACTGTACAACTGTTGGCATTGTGTACATGTTGCATTGAATTCTTTTCTTTTCTTAAGGTCCCCGTCACATTCGCCGAGAAGGCAAATGCAGTTGGGACAATAGAAATGAAAGCCCATGCTATCAGTGGAGACTCCCGCAAATTTCTTAAACAGAAACTTCGTGTCAGGGAGATCCTTTCTTTTCATTAAAAAACTGACTAGTTTCATCAGGTGTTCTACCTGTGTCCACGCCAGGCCAAAGTTAACAGCAAAGTCCATGACTAGGGTCACGATGTCTTCAGCAGATAAATCGGAGTCAAAGGAGCCATCAGTTTCACGATCATCCTCCTTTGCGTTCTCTGCCAGGGCTTCCTCATCGTCGCTCGGTCCCGACTCTTCGCACTCGTCGACTTCATCGTTTGCCCAGACGCGAACTGGCGAATTATCAGCAGGTTCATCTGCAGCAGCATTACCATCAGACATCACGTTTTCCACTTGGCTAGTGTCAGTCGCGAGGCGAGACGCCCTGTACCGCGTTGATCTGGGCAGCTCTTTCCCATCGAAGGATGGCTCTAGATATAACTTCCGTCGTTTAGGCGTCCGGGACATGTTAGCGGTACAGAATGTACACTTCGAACTGTGGTAAAATGCCTTCAGTCTAATAAAAAAAATACAAATCGATATGTATTAGCGTGCGCTTGAGTGGAAATCTTTCGATCCACGAAAGCGCAAACGCCATGCAAACGACTTGAGATCTGGATTCAGTCGGCTTTGTAACGGCTTAGCAATGAAGTGAATAATAGGTAATATATTTTTATTTGCATTTCTAGCACCGAACGTTACAGGTTTTTTATTTATATATAGGCCGTTTCTTTAACAACGTTATTTATGAATTTGTACGCGTTTAAATTCAGGCCAGGCCAAGCAGTTTTGGCTTGGTTGGTTGAGCTGAGCGAAGCCGGGCCAAGCTGAGTACAATCCACTTTGTGTCAGGCCCGCGTTACCCACGTGCGCGCTGAGCCCGTTGACTGTCATATTTGGTTCGATATAATGTTCGCGCTAGTTCGCTTTCTAGATAGTGACCATGCACATGACACTCGTAGATATGTTGTGCGAGTGGAGGATATCCATGATTTTCATCCGAAGCACGAGACGGATTTCGATGGCAAGGCAGTGTATGTCGTTCACTGGGAGGATGAAGCAAACGGTGACGACACGGGTGAATATAAAGCCCAGATACTTCGACTTGGCGGTAAGTGCATCCATCTACCCTGATCTACGCGTTAGTCTAATATCCACACTTGCACTTTCAGCCACAGAGAAAGAAGCTCGGGAATCGCCAAAAAGAATTCCGATCCCTAAAATTGCAGTTGAGGAAGGCTCGGACGTTGAAGGAGCTGTGACCAAGAAGGCCACTGTAAGTGCGCACTTGTTCATTCGCAAATCTTTTTTTTTTAGGTGTTTCTCTTTTTTTCGAATCTATTAAGGAAGTGCGAATTATTTTAAGATATTGGGAGTATGTCTAATCCAAAATTTGCAGGCTGCAAGAATGAAAAAAACAGCTGTCAACCGAACTGCAGCAAAAAAAGACCGGTACGAGCAGATCTTGAAAAAGCAGATGAGCCACGCTCTCCGACAGAACTCGGAACAAACTGTGAGCGTGTATTAACTATATAATACCCGATTTCCTTAAACTTCTTTTCTTCTTTTCACTGTGAAAAAGCTTCAGTGAAGCAAAAAAAAAAAAATGTTTACGCAGCGAAAAACGCGACTGAGTTCATCATCAAGCTCGGATGACTCTCTCGTGTCCAGCTCAGAAGTAACAGAAGAGAAGAAAAAAACCAAATTTTGTGACAACGATAGGCTCAGAGGTTGTGTGGCGACCAGCCACATTTAAAACTGTAACTGTGTTTGTTTGGCCGTTACACAAAGTCGGCGAATCAGTTGCATCTTGGCGTGAAGCCGAATTGCATACGGCTTGAATATGTCCGTGTTTACCACATGCAAGACAAGTTCGGTTTCGAGCCGAACACTGAGCAAAATTTGCTAAGTGGCGAACTGATCCATAACAGAAGCGATAGGCAAACGGCGACTGTGCAGGAGAATGTGCGAAAGAGCTCAGAACTCGGTGCTGGCCTTTAAAAGGCGAAGTCGAAGGCGCGGACATGCCTTTTCTACGGCCTCCTCGTTCCAGTCGGGCGGAAGGGCGGTCATGTTGAGCGCCGTGTTGAAGCTGGGAAGAAGATGAGCCATCTTTGTCTTCCCGCCAAAATGAAGAAAGAAGGCCACTATGCTGGCATGACCCGGGAAACAAATGGGCGCCATGAGGCCCCGAAGCAGAAAGTTGCTGCACCGAACGCCGCGCGAACTGCTCTAATTACACGTACACAAGTTCATCCTGTCGCGCAATCGAGAGGCCTTCTGAAAGAGTTATGGACGAGTCTTTTTGAAGGAGCTAGCAATGAACATTTTGTGAAGCGACGCCAATAAAGAGTTGTTGCCTGATCATGTCACTTTCAAGCGCACCGAGCCCGCATGACCTGGCTAGCAACCGGAGACTAGCGATGAAGTCTACAACGGGTTTGCCGGGGAGCTGACGATGCTCTTGGAAGCGGAGCTGTGCGATGTAACCACAAAACTCATCTCTGAAATGGTCGTCCAACAAAGCGACTGCGGCTTGGAAAGCGGCAGAAGTTAGGCTTGCTGCAGCTCCAATAGCCTGCGTCAGTGTAAGGCGAGCCCATTTGTCCAAGCGTAGGCCTCCCAGTGGGCGTAGGATGGCTTTGTTGTCGTGGAGAGGCAAGTGTGGTGATGGTTGTTGTCGTAGAGAGGCAAGGGTAGTGGCCATGATCTCGTTGGCTTACGTTGGGTGGTGTCGCCTTGAAGTTCATTCGTCTGAGTTCCTTGCTTCGTCTTAGAGACCGACAGATCGGCTTCTGTGCATCGTTTTTTCTGCACCAGCACACAAGCAGAGTCATCGTCCTTGGAGGGGGATGTTGTATCATTGGTGGGTGCAGGCAAAGTCGTGTCTATAGCTGCTGCAGCAGCCGTGTTCACAGCGTTCTCCGTAACTTTCCCTGGCGGGTCAATGGAATTCTCCATGGCAAAACTGTACTCACCTTTGGGGCGTACGACAGGGAGGCTAAATAATTTACACAGACTTGCATAATAGGCGGGAACGCGCCAACAAGAGTCTATCAGATCGGTGGTCATTTGAAGCAAAAACGCTTCAATGTTCAGCCACTGTCGAGCGGCGAGACCTCATCGGCGAGAGATGCGCCGCGGCTAAGAGGAACGCAATGTGAATCTTTGGCTGGCACTTGTCCGAAGTTCGAAACTGACGAAAAAATGATCGATGTTGCATTCACAGGTGTCGAGATGGCTCAAAATGTTCTGAGCGGCTTGGTGAGCGAAGGGAAACCGATGACAGGAATGAGGAGTTGTCTGGACCTCAGAATGACTGGTGGAAAACGGAGCACGTCCTCCAACGTCGGTGGTCACATGAAGACACTTATGAGACGATATTGCAGCACCTGATAGTGTCAGCCCGTGCTCTCGTAAGCGCATGTTAATGCAAGGGCCTGTTTGGCCTACGTATTCACAGCCGCAAGATAGTGGAAAGGCATAAACTACGCTAGTAGCACAAGCCTGTCATGCAAGGTTCTCCTTACCAATTTCTTTCTCCTGGGCTGAGTCTCGAAGAGTTTAATTAATAAAAACAAAGCCATTTGTTTCAAAGAGAACCCACACAAAAAAGTTCAACAAAATGATAGAAAGACGAAAATCTCTTGCAACACCGAATCGCTTAGTAAAAGTTGACTACACGCGGTGAACACTCAAATGGCACACAAAACTAAACCTCAAGTAAATACTCTACAGAAAATAGTCCTGACATGGCTGAGCGGCGGTGCATAGAAAGATGCAGTTCGGTTTCACCAACTGATGAAGTGCTTGACTTTAGGAATCGATGGCGGTCAGTTGGTTCTACCGAAGGACATTTGACACAATGAAACACACAAGTAACCAGGATGTTCATGTATTGCTTCCATCACTGCATGAATTGTATGTGCAATAGTATTAAATAAAATTAGCAAGTTTTGTAAATTGGTGTACTATGCACACAGATCTGATTTTTTTGCATGCATAAATGAAGTAAAATGATGCATGCCAAAAATTGCAAGAGGCTAGATTATTTTCTCAATACAGCCTTTGTAACTGATTTTAAAATTGCAAAAAAATGCAGTAAAGTCCATTCAAGAGACTGTGCCTGGGTCACCGAGTAAGTTGGAGGATGTTTGTCTATTCCTGTGAGATCTAAATTTTGGCTTTTTCACACCAGATGCTGGCAGTCTACACTCACGAAGTGCCATTGATGGTAAGGCTTTAGGTTTATTTCTATTGTATTGCTTACGTGTAATTATAACAATGCAAAATATTTATGCAGACTTCATAGAGGAACCTCCCACTTCGATGACTGGTGAGTTACAGGCTTATGTGTAGTATTTGTGTAAACATTTAGCTTTGCTCCTTGTGTTTCCAGCATGTGCAGCAAAAGAATCTGATGACCTGCCTAGTCCAAGTAGGCTTTTTTACTTGTGTGCTTCTATTGTAGGAAACTACTGAATTTCCATGTTTCACAAATTTGCAACATCTTTTTTCAGGGAAATGTTTTTCATATTTAGAAGATGGCTCTGTGAGTATATATTTTGCACTTTACCTGTGAAGTTCAAGCACACAATGAAATTAGCATAATGTTGCATTCTTTGAACATGATTGATGCAAATGGTCAAAAAGTAAATAATTTCAAATCTATACTGTAGATGCCAACATAAATTGTAGCATGTTATATGTTCACACCAGCAACTATGGTAGCTTGAATTAAATGTGTTTACATTCAGTAAATTGAGTGATTGCATCCCAACTAATTGTCACTTCATTACATTATACTTACATCTAGCTTCACAGCACTGATTTAGTTACAGCACTCATTTGTAATCTTAGTGACCATGATTTACTATTATCTTTGTGCACACAGCCTCTTTTCTAATATAATACTCCTATTGAGGACAGAACACACTATATTCAAAATTTGCAGATCCCTTCACATTGACATCCCGTATAATCATGTGATTTTGGGACATGAAACCCATGATATTATTATAAGCCGTGTGAAACAAACTGCCTGCCGAACAGCTCAGAGGTGCCTCCACAATAACGATGTGCAGCTACTTGGCATGTTGCCAATGACAGTGGTGCAAAACAGCAGCAGTTGTTGGTAAGTTTGTGAAATCTTCTGCAGTACATGTTACATTTTAGCTTCTAGAAAGTACAGGTGGCTTGTATACTTGCCCTTGTCAATTTCGGTAGCTAGATATATTACCAATACCACAGATAATTTGGACATTTAGAAACACTATATGAGGTGGCAAAAGCATGTGCATATCCGAATACAAATCGAATAGTGGCCCTGCGAATATTTTAATTCGTGAATTGAATATGTGCTCTTCAAATTCTCAAATACTGAAAGTCGGCAACACCTACATTATGGAACATGTAATAATTACATATGCCCTAAATTGTAGTATGCATTAATCATCATATAGGTTGACATCTGGTGTGTATGTCTGCTAACAAAAAATTAAATACAGGGCTACCAAAAATATTGTTTAAAGTACCTGTATCTAGACCGCTGCTGTCTTTTTGCCAAAGTGGCGCGAAAATGCCTCCTCTCTCACGTGAATATCCGATAGCGTGCGGTGGCAAAGCCAAGGAGCATTTCAAATCTCTTACATAGTCCGGTGCTCACCAGCTGGTAAGCATACAATAAACTGCAGTGATGCAAGGCTGCCCCCCCCCCTTCCCCCACCAACCTGTTTCACAAGTCAAGTAAACAAAAAAAGAAACCATGCTCATTACCACATTCAGAAAAAAATTATATTGCACAAAAACTTGTAATAATAAAATTTTTGCTATTCAATATTTGTACGCCTGCTAAGTTGAACTTCTTTGTCAGCCAATAATAATTACAGGAACAAGATGTTGCATCGCTCTCTTCCTTGATATTTACAGTTTCATCTTCAAAAGGGCATCTGCCTGACGCCTATTCAGGCAAAAAGAATTCTGTCTCACAAGAAGGCAAGGCTGGTGGTGAAGGAAACGGCACAAGCCATATGGTCCCAGAAAGCACAGGCAGCCACATACCTTGGCATAAAACTCTGTCACCTGGTGAACTTGTGAACCACTCTACTATAAAAACATAGACATGGTCTTTCGTTGGTTTGCTAGCCTGGTAATGTCCTCGTATCCTTCCTGTGAAAGCTTAAGGACAAGCTTCATGGCGTGGCCTACCGTTGGCTGCCATGATGAATGGTATGAGGCTTAGCTTGAGCTTTCATCTCTCTCATTTATAAAACATTTTTTTGCTCGCTTAGTGAGCATGTTGGAGAGCGTAGAAGTAGTTTTAACATGAAAGTTTTTATGCTGAGGTGGACCACGATGTAACGTTGTGGTTTTGCTTCGCACAACGTGCAGGTTCTTTTATTCACTTGGAAGGTCCAAGGTGCTACTTCAGGACACTGCTTGAAGGACGAGCCCATTTAGAACAATTATTTAATAACAGTAACACGTGATTGTGCAGCAGCGGGCTTTAACAATAGAATGAGCTCTGTTAGACAAGCAGTGGAATGGAGTTTTGGAAAGATTCCAGGATTGTTTGCTTTTCTGTATTTTGGTGAAAATTAGCAACTTGAACGGCGGAACCTGTCACACCGAACTGAACTGAAGTGAACTTTATTTTGTCCTGAGAAGACAAGTCCTTCTAAGGGGACTCCTCCGCGGGCTGCGTCCACGACGGGACCGGGAGGTGGAACTCGACGGCAAGATCGTGGGCTCTCTGGACAGCCCGAAGTGAGGACTTGTGAGGAGAGCGGTCCACTGTTTCTCCGTGGCTGGAGACCCTGCAGCCGCGCGCAGCATGGGGCATTGCCCCACCATATGTTGCAAATTGCATCTCGTGAGCCCACATCGAAGGCAGCCCGCCTTTATTTCACTAATAAAACGTGAATAAGAGATGGGTGAAGGGTAAGCACCTGTTTGTAACAGACATAAAGTGAGTGCGGTCTCGTTAGATGAGGATGAGGTAGAGGAAACTTTTTGCACTCAAGGCGGTAGTGCTGACAAATTTCGTTTTACGTTAGGAGCGAGTCCGGCTGCCATGGCTCGCCCTTGGGCTGCCCTCTCTCCTGGTGCGGCGAGTAAGGTCTCGCACCTGGAAGTGAGCTAGCTCGTTGGCGTTGGGGATGAGGGGGTGAGCATCTTGGCCCACGTGGCCGGGGAACCAGATCAAGTGTTTAGTATCGGCCTAGTTGCACGCGAGAGCACGCGGGCTGCCTCTTTACAAACCGAGCTGGTGTAAAAGGCCCTAGCTGCGGCTTTGGAGTCTGTGTAGACTGTTGTGCGATCCGTGGTCGCCAAAGCTAATGCTATAGCTACCTGTTCCGCACGGTCTGCATCCGTGTTGGGGAGTGTTAGAGAAGTGAGGTGTTCACCTTGTAGCGATGTAACGGCTGCTACGAAGTGCTTGAAATTAACGTATTGAGCGGCGTCTACGAAAGCTACTGAATCGGGCATTGCTGCAGCCGTTTTGAGGAGGGAGGCTGCTCTAGCCTTACGTCGGCCGGGGTTGTATTGCGGGTGCATGTTACGTGGGAGCGGTGAAACGATGAGGCGTTCGCGAAGCTCTGACGGCAGCGTGCACTCTCTATGGTTGACAATTAAAGAGCTTATTTTGAGATACGCCAGGAGTTCACGTCCCGCCTCAGTCGAGGAGAGTCGAGCAATCTGGGCTTGATTTTGGACCTAAATCATAAGGTGGGTGGCCTAAATAAGAGATCATTTGGAGGTTATCCTAAAATGGAAGTTATCTGATGATGGTGATGATCAATGGATTACTCTCATTGCTTAAGCTGAAATAATAATTCAACTGGACAGTCGAATATGGTGTGCCCTGGGTAAGGCAGCCATTCAGAGTTCTTGAGAGCCCCTTAATTTACTTGGTTTGTTTCAGCAGTATATGCAGTTTGTGTTTAACCGGTCAACGAGATTATTATTAGAAAACAAACATATAGCAAAATATTTGCTTAAGTACCAGTGCCAGCTTCTTACACAAGCCATGTTTATTTTTGCATGGTGAAAATGTGCATGAAAAAAAACAACTGGTGGTCAGTGTAAATTCAGATTAAGCATGCCAAATAATTATTGTAGGATTTCACCAAGTAGAATCGCAGAATTGAGTATTCTTATACAAATATTTTTAGTCTACATTTAAAGCTACGCAGAATCAGTCTGTGCTGTATTGATAGTTAGGAAATTTCGACATATGTGTGGTGAACTCTGTATGTTTACCTGAACCACTAGTGGCTGACAATATGTCCGACACCATTTTTTCTTCTAGGAAATTTGGTTTCCCCATGCGATTGGGGGTCTGTGTTTTTATTTTGTGTGTGTGTTGAAGTGAAGTGATATTGCTTGTCCATTTTTTTGCTGGTGCTGCTTGAAGCAACTTTTCTTCTGGCACAGGCATAGCCTTGAGCTTTGTAATGATATTCTGTAAGGCCGGCCCAGCCCATGGCGCAGCTCCTTTATCTATTTTTGGTTTCTGTGATTCCTCAATGATTGCTTGCGCGATTTTCGTGCAGGGTCCCGGCTTCTCTTCAAATGTCCTTTGTCCTTGATTTTGTTCAGGCCAGTAAGATGTTCCTTCGCTTCATTGTCCATGACGTCCTTCATTGTCATAGATCCCTGCGATAGTAGCTGCCTTCCTGGTGGCCCAGTCTAGGTATTCAACAGTGGCACGATCTCCTGGTTCGGGCCCTGGGTCTAGCTCTTCTGATGCCCTTCCGCCACTACCTCCTTTTTCGGTTGGCACGGGTCCTGTCAAGACTTGGGGCACCTGTATCTGTGTGGGCTGCTGGTTTGTTCCCCTGGTACCACTTGCGGCTGGGTCCAAGACAACGCCAATGGCAGAAGGGTTCTGTTCCGGGCCGCTTCTGCAGCCGTTGTTGCCACCTTATTTGTTAGCTCCTCTCTATCCCGCTTGTCAGACATCTTGTGCCCCTTCCTGCCTCTTCCTTTTCCACCGGTGTTGGGGGTCACTGCCTGGTGAAGACATCAGCCAAGTGGCTTTGAAAGATGAAAAAGGAAGAAAAAAAAGCGCTGTCCTGTTACTGCCTCTCTTAAACGAGGCACCTCCACAGCTAAGCGCAGGGAAGGGGGGAATAGGGATTAAAGAGGCAGAAGAGAAGAGGTAGGAGAAGGGTAGTGAAAAGTATTCGCACCGCATCACATAGCGTGCGTCCGAAACCGCTGCGATGCTCCGCAACCATCAGGAAAAGCCGCCGGGAAGGCCGGAGAATTAATTAAAGTTAACCGAAAAAGAAGAGAATCAGCCTAAGAGGCGCATAAAATGATGAGCGAACACACTCGCGTGACCACGAAGCGCAAGCACGAGAGAGGGAAAAAAAAAAAGGCCGAATGGTTTCGGTTCAACGAGAAAAAAAAAAAAAAAAAAAACAGTTGAACGTACTGAAGGGAGAACGCGCGTGGGCACATAGCACAGGGACGAAAGAGGGGAACAAAAAGAAACATTGTTGCAGTTTAACGATGAGGAAGGGAGAAAAAAACTGTTGAACTTACAAATCAGTGTCCTGTTGACCTTGCTGAAATAATCCAGCGGGACACTGCAAGGGCGGATAGCTTGAACATGAGAGAGAAGGAAAAAAAAAGAGTTCAGTTCAGCCATAAGAAAGGAAGGGGAAAAAAGAATAATGTTTAGCTGAACTCACAGGTGAGAGTTCCGAGGAACTCGATGTGTAAATCCCGTCGCTCTAGTTCGCCGGAACGATTGCCTCATGTGCAGCGATAACTGCCACACACAGGCCACGAACCGGAGAATCAGGGGGCAGGAACACCATCACTGCGCAAATAGCTGCTACAAGTGCGGAGATCACCGCGTCCATTGGGTCCGCCCCAGAGTCGGGGCAAGCCAGAGGAGGGGCGATGGGGCACCTGTGGTTGCAGCAGGCGCACTGGTAGGAGGGGAGGAGCAGGCACCGACGCCGATGAACGACCGGAGGCGACAGCGTGCCGAAAGGAGCGGCCATGGACGATTTCTGCGCTGGCTCGCTTGTCGATGGTGTTGACAGCGGTTCTGGCTTTCTCCAGCGCTTGGCGGCGTGTCGCGGGGCCATCCGAAGAGACAATGATGACGACGGTCTTGCGCTGAATTCGCCAGGAAAGGTAGCATGGTTCGTTAGTCGGATCCGTGCCACTGCAGTTAGCGCTCCGCGGGACTGGGAGCGTTGGCGTGGCTTCCCCCGCAGCGGAGGCAGCGTTGGTCCCGCGAACAGTCGCGGTGGCGTGGCCGAAACGGCCGCAGAGGGCGCACAGGAGGGGCCGTGGCAGGCGAGGGCGGAGCTTGAAAAGGGCCACAACCGGCGGGACCGTGGTGCCCTGAAAGGTGATCGTGAGGCACCTGCCTTGTCGGACGCAGGAGATGACCGGGACAGCTGAGTCGAGGCTGGCCACGATTTCCTCCAAGTCAAGGGTTGCGTCGACTCCATAGACGGTGCCGACGCAGCTGTTTACCACAAGCAGCTTCCCCCTGACGTGGGTATTACAGACCCGGCTCACCGGGAGCAGGGGTGTGGGATCCGCGAGGGGCTGGATGTCCACAGCGACGACGTTGCGCCGAAAATTGATGCAGACGCGTTGAGTGGCCGAGAAGTTGGAGAGGAAAGCCCCAATGGCTTCGCGAGTTGTGGCGAGGTAGTTGGCCTTCTTGCCGACTGGGCGGTAAAGGATGCTGCTGTCGTGCTCTCCCACTGATGCAGGAAACGCCGGGGGCTGTGTGACGAACTCAGGAGCTGGGTCGGTGTCCAGTTGAGCTGGGGGGCGAGTTGGTGAGCTGAAGTTGAAGCTGGGGGCGCCAGTTTTCTCCCATGTCGTGTCGTGACTATTTGGTGACGACGACAGTGGTGTTTGGTGTTCCCATGAAGCACTAGAGGCGGACGATTCGTCCGTCTCTGTGGGATTTGCCCGAGTTGGCGCGGCTTCGATGAAGCGCTCTTTCTCGCGCGCGCCCGAAGGCGAGCTTTGCGATGT